GAATATATTTTTTATATTTTTTATTATTAATGTATATTAAAAAAATATTAACCTAACATGAGTGTTAAAAATAATATTATTTTTTATTTTTTATGTAAATTAATACATTTAAGGGTATAAGTTAAACAAACTCTAATAAATTTGATAGGTTTAATCTTAAACACACCTATAATTAAGATCATTAAATGAGTTTCTTAATTCATGTGAAACTCCTTAAAATATCAATTAAATTGAAATAGATTGAGTACAGAACAATTTGCTATCAACTTTTAAAACGAGAGGAATGCTAGGAGCACTCGCTCCAACACTCTCCCTTTAGCAATCGCTCATCCATTTAGCCACGTCTCTGATGATTTCGAGGCCTTAACTGGGAACCGGCAATTGTGGGTGACCATTTTATTAGCATTAAATTAAAATTAATACATATGGTAGTGTGATGCAATATTCAAATTACATCAATACCCTCGTAATCATCTCCTTCCTCCTTCCTCCTTCCTTCCTGATAGAATCCCTGCAATTTTGTTTTGTTTTCTTTTCCAAACAGAATCCCCCATAATTTAGGTTTGAACTTATTTTTTCCTCTCCTCTCCGTAAACTAGAACTCCTCCTCTCCTCTTCTTCTCTACTAAGACCAGAACCAGAACCAAGCTTTCTCTATCCTCTGTTTGTACCAGACTTTCTCTCCTCTTGCACTAGATCTGGCTGCAAAATCACGCTAGGTTCAGCAAGGAACCCAGATCTACAAGTATTTTCATTCATTTTGTGGGTTTTTTTGAGAGAGGGCCGATATGGGGAAAAAGGAAGAAATTTGAGAACCCAAATATGGATCTAGCTTTGTGCAATTGTACTCTCTTCTTTTCTCTTTCTCTGTTTTATTTCTCATTCGTTCTCATTTTCTTCCTATCGTTGGCCGCCATCGGGCTTGGCTATCTGGGCACGGGATGTTTTATGTGGCCGTTCGTCGGTGTTGGTAAAAGGGGGTTGGGTTCCTTCTGTGCTATGAAGATTATCAGGACAAATTTGCAGTAAAATTAAATTTGTAGAGGAATGTGTAGCACGTTTGCTGGGAAAATTTTTCTTTGCAGAGGAATGATAATATAGAATCCAATGGGTTTTTCTCAAACTCACCCGCACTGCCGTCATCCACCTTTCATTTTTAACCACAACCCAAAGACTTTCTTCAGTCCTTCATATTTCTGCAAACCCTCAATACAAATTGCAACACTTTTCAATTACTCTCCTTTTTTATGATTACTCCCACGCAAATTAGGTAAATTTCATAATACTACTTCTCATTTTGCTCCTCTACTGGTTCTCACCTACAAAAAAAAAAAAAACTCGTGCAAAATCCAAGCTTGATAGGAAGATATGGATCAGAAGACTGAAAATCTTGTGGGAGAGAGAGTGATTGTTAAAGAGAGGAAAGTATGAAGGTAGAATAGAAGGGGTGGTGTTGGATTAAAGTCTAGGATTTGCCTTCAAATTATCAGGGGAGCAAGATGAAGCCTGGTTTGGGAAGAGAGTAATGGAGATAGGGATGGA